CATCACTTACTCACAAATGGATCCTTTGCAGTAAATGGGTGCCATCAGAATGTGAGACCAAACAGCTGATAAAAACATCACAAGTAATGTACATGACTCCAGTCCATCAATTAATGTTTTAAGAAGTGAAAGAGCTGCATGTTTGTAAGAAAAAAAATCCACCAGGATGTTTTAACTTCAAACACTGCTTCCGGCTAAAATAGTCCTTTTATCCATACAGTAATATTGCTTTCTCCAGTGAAAAAGTAATCTTGTCTGAATCAAGAGGGAAATACGCACATCAAGCACGGTTTACAAGCTAAAACCATTCTAAACATACAGCGGGTAAAATAAGCACTGAACACATGTAAAATATACATGTTGTAGCCATTTAAGAAAGGGTATTTTTATTTTATATTATTTATGTTTAAATATTATTTGTTTGTGTTTGTTTAGTTCAATTTGTTAATTAATTAAGAAAATTGTAAACGTCATAAGGGCGTGGTAAATTGGACGGCAGTACGCTGGAAGAAAGGAAATGGGTCAGACATCATTTTTTGACCACCTCATAAGTTTTTGTTTGTAGAATTCCTTTTTTTGAAATGAGTTTCGTTTGGTATAATTTGTATCTTAATTTTAATGTATTTTGTTGGTCAATTATTTACCTAAATAAGAGGAATGAATAAACGTTTCGTGGAATGAAGTGCGTTCAAGACAAAGCCCGCTACCATGCAAAACAAAGGCCAAAACAATACATACATACACACACACAGTAGTAATGCTAAATGTAGTGTATAATATGAAATGTGCATGTTCTGTTACAAATATTTGCAACAAATGCACACAGTCAGCATCAATGCCCCCTGTTTTGTGCAATGGATTGAGATCTGTGTGTGTGTGTGCCAAAAATGTTTGCAACTTCTGTTTCATCACAAATTTAATTAACTGATGTTGTTACATTTTAAATGATTTAAAAGGCATCATTAAATTTTTTGAGATAAATTGTACTTTTCTTTTTCCATCAGGGTGTGGCCAAAGGTTTCATTGATGCTTTATCATCGTTGCAAGTTTTCAGATGCTGGCCAGTCACTTCTTCCAAGGCACCAAACACTGCCATGTGACCAGACCGCTCCACTGCAACTACACAATGTGGGTGTACTTTCAACACTAAGACTTAAGGTAATATGTGTAAATATTTAGAGTTTTTCTAAAATTAAAATGTGCTTTATTGTTCTCAGTGGCATCTACGCTAATATTAGACTGTCTCATTCTTATTCCGAGGTCACCGTAGCCACCAGATCCAGTCTGTATCCAGATCAGATGGTGGATCAGCACCTAGAGATGACCTCTACAGCCCTGAATGTCAGAGGAGCCAATGAAAACTATGAGCCCCAGACACAGATCCCCAGTGAAGACCTCATCCCCTAGACAGCCATCGGAACAAGACCACAGGAACCAGACCAGTCCTCTGCACAATCTGACTTTGCTGCAGCCTGCAATTAAACTGCTGGGTTCGTCTGGCCAGAGGAGAACGATGGTTTTGGTTCCTTCGACACACGATTTTTCTGTTTAATACTGTAAAGCTGCTTTGACACAATCTGTAGTGTAAAAAGCGCTATATAAATACAATGACTTCAGTTTACTTGACTCAGTTCAGTTGAACTGTAACACCTGATTCATTTCGCTACAAATATACCCCAGCGACTTAAGACTGGTTTTGTGGTCCAGGGTCACATATATGGTACATAATGTTCAATACTTTATTAACGTAAAAATACTATTTGAATTTGAAAAGAAACAAACTACTCTACACCTTAAATGGCCTGAGAGTGACTAAATTTTCAGAACATTTCCATTTTTGCAAAAACTATTCCTTTTAAATAGAAGATGAAAAGTTTAAGTTTCTCCAACATGGGTGTCAGAACTTAATTGAATTTATTTAATACACGAGTTTCACAATTTGAGTTGAATTACTGAAATAAATGAACTTTTCCACGACATTCTAATTTATTGAGATGCACATGTACTTATGTAATCTGTTTAAGAGTACACTATATTATTCTGTACATAATGATCTTCAGCATCTCCAAAACATAACAGCCTGTGGCCTTCTTCAGATTACAAAGCACATGGTGGACCAATATATGGACAGGTCCAATTAAAAATGACATTACCACATCGTTTCAATAGGGCTTGTTATATCATATCATCCGCCCACTGACAGGAATGGCACATATGCATATATTTTGGATGAGCTGTTGTGTTTCTCTGGAGTTTAAAGTCTAAGTCTGGCAGAGGTGTGTAAATTGAAGTCTTTTTCTTCCAGCTTGTGCAAGTGGTTGAGATCAGAACGCACATTTGTATACATGGACTAAAATAATCTTTTCACACGCTTAAATGTTTTTCTCCACACACATCTCTACGAGTAGAAACTTATGAAATTTTAGAACACTGACCCTCAGACTATGACACAAATATGCCAGGTCTCCATACATTTTGTCGTAACTTCATTATTTCTTTTCTGTGTGATGCTGTGGTTACATGGTGAATCATTTCCTTTCATAAGAGCAAGTCTCTGCTGACAATGCAATTACTTGGTTTGTTCACACCACTGTTTTTCTATAAACTATGATAAAATAAAACTAATAAAGGCTGAGGACTATCACTGTTCATCTTATCACTCTTTTTAGCCTCACATATTTGGCTTACATAATTATTTTAAATTGATTTATGCTTCACGCTTCCTGACTGCACTTTACTTAAAGGGGTCATATGATGCTGCTAAAAAGAACATTTCTCTTTGGATTTGAGACTTGAGTCTTTGCAACTTTACATATCTTCTTTATGCACCAAGAGCTTGTAACACTCCAAAGAGAAAGGAAAAAATGAAATTGCATCATATGACCCCTTTAATAACCTTATACGTCAAAGAAGAATTACTCACAATGCCTTCCATATGTGATGTTTGCTTGCACAAGAGGCTTGACATTTCAAAATTATCCTACTCTTTAAGTTATCCACACAAACTATTGTACATTTGAGAGTTGAGTAGGATAGTAATGGATTGTGAATAAATTGATATACACTGTTGAAGAAACTGAAGTTAGAATATTGAAAGTACAATACTTAACAACATATACAACATGCATATCGACCTGAATTATTATTTTGGTTAAACTTAAACATAACAGGAAGGTTAAAAGGGAGCAAAACGAATATTTGTTCATACCGTTATTTCAAAAGTTGAATATCAATGAACAGCTTTTTATCTCTTTTAATTGTCTGAAAATCATGGAAGATAGTTCTTTGCAAAAACTTTTTTTTTTTTTTCATTTTTGAAAGACACTGGTAGTCCACACATGGATGACAAGAAACAGGATTACACACATATTACAAAATGGCATAAGCGCAAAAATTGGGACACACAGATTTAAGTTCTTGATTCAGTTTCATTTTGATGTCAATTCAGTGCATGCCAATTTGTTATAAGTAAAAAAAATTAGGATCCCTCTCAACTAAGGGAACCCTGTCAGATGGTCCATTATAATATTAAAGGTTAAAGTAAATAACTATTTGTCCAAAACTACTAAATTAACCTGCTATTTATTTTTAGATATAACAGTTAATACTTAAACTGTGTAAACATTTAAATTGTATAAGTCAGTTTTTGTATCAACTTTTTAATGAATTGTATAATTATGTTTCAATTATTTGTTAAAATATAAACATTTAATAAGTGGCTTTCATAAAAAAGATTGTTTTCATGACATTTATTTAAACAAACATTACACATAACATCACTGACAACGGGTTAAGTGAAGAAATAACAAATATGTAATATATTGCATATATTCAGCAACCATTCTTTCTCTCTCTCTCTAGTTGACTAAAGAGCTATGGACACTGAATGACGTTCCTGCGTTAAATGCACTGATCTATGATAGTAGGTAAATGCAACCTTACATGACATACTGTTTAGCTAGCTGTTTTATTGACGTATTTCCGCGGCTTAAACACAGACTGAGCGATTACACAAAACATGATACATTTAAAATTTGAACTGTTCTTAATTGGCATACGTTCTGATATTCATTCATGTTCATTTCGTGTATATCTAGTAGGCTAGTAGAGAGGGAGAGAAGATGAGCGTGCACTCTGTGCTACTGCTTCAACTGGAAGTCACACCACATTAAAGTGCGCCAAAACGACGTTTGTGGTTTAATTTTCGGAATAAAATAGACAGAACTTGAGAGCTGAGACCTTGTTTCACATCAAAAGTAACAAATGACAAAGCCTATGGCGATTATTGGATGGCAGGTGTGCTGCAAATGTTTAGTAGCTAATGTTTTGTTTGCGCATCAACAGAAAACAGCAAGACTGAAAGATCGATCACATTTAATCAAAATGAAGATTACAATTCAGAAATTTGAGTCTACATAGGGCTACATTTTGTTGCTATTTTAAAAATTCCAAAAAACAAGTTTATACCAATAATTTGTGTTGAAAATAAAGAAACAAAGTCATGTACTTTACCGTGCTTAATGCTGCGTTTTTTGTAAATAAAAAGCCTGACAATGTCACTGCTTAATACCTATAAGTATTGTGATTTCTGTTTTACTTTGGCAATCTCTCTGTCTCCTACTCGTAAATATGATCTATCCGACATGACTTGAACGCACCATTAGTCCATTCTCATCTCTTCACGCCAACAACTGATTGGTCTGTTGCTAGTGAACCTGAAATCAATGCAGCTATGGAGTTTCCGGTCTCAATCTGCCATGATGTCATGTCGGTGAAGTGGAAACTCATTCAACTCATTCAAGAACTAAAACAACACTGTCAGATTGTATATGCATTTGAAATAAATTTTATTAAATTATTATAATTTTTTCCCCTCAGGAATGGAATACTATAATAAGGACGATGGAAACCTCAGTAAATTTATTATTATTATTATTTTTTTTCCCCTCAGGAATGGAATACTATAAAAAGGACGATGGAAACCCATCCCCCCCCATGCTTTTGACTAAAATCTTGATGACATGATGGTTCTAAGCAAATGAAACCAGTTTTCAAAAACAAATAGTTGGCATTGCAATTGAAAGTTAAAAAAAAACTCCAGCATTCATATTGTCCAGCTGGCAGTTTATGAACTGCATGAATCAACAAGAAATTTTATCCATCAGCATTTCCATTGCTGTAAACTGTTTTTTTGTTATAGTGATGAGTGACGATATCTTGACATGAACATATCAATCTGTCTGCCCATTACATTGTGTAAAAAAAAAATGTGTCACAGCTTGAACAGGAAGTGTCCGTTGTAGAGGTGCTGTTGCCACCCAAAGCAGTGTGCGCTGCAGGTGATGAACTGTCATTTTTACTATTTAACAAATTCCCTGTGTGCTATTACACCCAATTTAGCTGACTATCACCGCGCCATTATCTACAGAGTTTCCTCGTCATCCTCCAGGCCGCTGCTGGACCTCGTGGGCAGGGACTCCTTTAGCAGGATGTCATCGACCTGCTTTGCACTGTCCTCTGGCTCCTCGGGTATGGATGGTGGCAAGCTGTCAGCGTCCGAATTGAGCACATAGCCTGGCAGTGTGGCATGGGCACTGATGGTTGGCCCCCCACTGCTGCGGTAGACTCGGCTGGAGAAGAGCGTGGTGGAGCGGGTGCCCGGGCCACCGGTAGCCAGCTGGGACTGACTGCTGGTGCTGTTGTTAAGGCCTGTCAACACAGAGCCGTAGCGGTAGCTCCCACACACCACCGGGCCCTTCCAATCAAATGCTAGGTTCCACCGTGTCCATGTTTTCTTGATCTCAGTCTGGACCTGTGGATCAGAGTTAGATGCTAAAGAACACTGGATATTGAAATGCACAGTAACGTTTTTTTATACAATCTCTAAGGCAGATTTCAATACACTGTCACTTATATAACAATAACCTAAAAAACAATAACAACAGGTACCATAATACAATGTTTTGTTTTGTAAAACAATGTACTGTAGCTATTGAATGTAATTTGAACCAAAGCACTGAAAAATTATCTACAGTTTAGCCCACACCAATTGCTGTTTTGCTTACTGCATTGAAAGTATTGGGAAATGAATCTTAGTGATTGTAAAATTCTCCCAAATTCCAATTCAATTCCTGGATTTCAGTTAAATTTGTATTGAGGGAGGCAACACGATGCAGAATTAAAATTCAAACGTATTTAAGGAAGAAGATTTAAAATTAACTGAAAATTCATGCAACAAATTTTATTTAGCTAGAAAAGTAAACTTTACATTTTGACTGGTTTGTACGTTTTGAAAAAAGTTTTAAAAGACCTTCAAAAGTAACAGATTTATTTATTTGTTTGTTTGTTTAATATATTTACTGTTTAGTTCATATATTATCTTTAATATTAAATAAATTTATTTTTGTGGACCAGGGTGAAATAGTCTTCATTTCCCAGAATGCATTACCTGTGAATTTCTTTAAATTACTATTCAGTAAATTCTTCTTCCTCAATTCAACTCAATTCAAATTCACACTCATGGCATTCAACAACTAGACCGAACAAAACAGATTAAAGAACTACAGTCTACCCCGACATCTGGGATGAGGAACACTTAAAGGGGTCATATGATGCGATTTCAAGTTTTCCTTTCTCTTTGGAGTGTTTCAAGCTCTTGGTGCATAAAGAAGATCTGTAAAGTTGCAAAGACTAAAGTCTCAAATCCAAAGAGATATTCTTTATAAAAGTTAAGAGTCAGCCACACCTACCTAAAATGGCTCGTTCTAACACACCCCCACATATCTACCTCACTATGTGGAAATATTAGCATAATGCCGCCCAAATGTGCACGCAAAGAAAGAAGGCGTGGTTTCAGGAACAGCAGTAGTGTTGATGCAGCCATGTCAGTGAGATGCTGTGTGTTTCAGTGCGAAAGCAAAAGCACTTTATTTGGCCTTCCGGAAGTAGATGCAATTAGGAATCATTGGTTAAGATTTATTTACAACAGAACAGCACAACCCAGATGTTCGAATTTGTGCAACGCATTTTATGGACGACAGTTTTTTTTAACTTGGAAGAGTACAAGGCTGGCTGTGCACAAAGGCTATTTCTTAAAAAAAAAAAAGGGTCAATCCCGATTTTGCTATGACAATCTGGCGCTTCTGAATCAGCGACTGTACGTATGTTTTGTTACTAGTTTAAGTATTTGCTATTGACTGTTCAAATGCGGAGTTTTGCGCATCGTGTGTGTGTGTGTGTGTGTGTGTGTGTGAGGGGAACAGGGTCACATCACAGGAGCGTGAACTGCCTGTCAGAAATCATAGCATGTCAGCTGTCTTAACCGCGGCTTGTGTACTGCATCATCACTGTGTCTGTCATGAGACTCTGTTCCCCTTTCGGGCTCTGTCTTTACATTTATTTTGAAAGATGAAGCTGGCGATTATGGTAAGGGGCGTTACATTTCTGACGAGTGCTTGCGGTGTTCGGCCAGTCACAATGCACTGGGTCAGCTGGCCAATCAGAGCGGACTGCGCTTGTCAAAGGAGGGGGCTTTGTAGAAAACGAAGCGTTTGAGAGAGGCGGGGCATAGAGGACCTACAATAATGTACAGTATTTGAAAAATAATGTGTTTTTTGAACATTAAAGCATGTCAACATATTCTGTTACACCAAATACACAAAATAATGATCTTTAAAATAGCATCATATGACCCCTTTAAAACTTCACAGCTTGTGGTGTGATTGGTCTTGATTTAAAACTAACATATGTTGTAAAGCACTTTTACAATATGTTTAAATTAATAATATTATTACATCTACACAACATTCAATGTGATTTAATGGGTGGTGGGATCTCTATTAACACCACCAGTTTCTAGCATCTGCTTGGCTGAAGCAATGGCAGCCGCTGTGTGCCAAAACGCCCACCACACACTGGCTACTGGTGGAGTGGAGACCAAGTGATGTAGCCAATCAGTTTAAATAAGCATGAGTAGGAGGCTATGATGGATGGAGACCAAAGAGTAAATTTGGCCAGTATGCCAGGGTTGTACTCCTACACTTTTTTTGAGAACCCCCCTTGGACCGCTATTGACCTCAGAGAGTCAGGACCAGTTTAACATCTCATCGGAAAGACTGAGTCGGCCGCTGGGTGAGCACTCCCTGCTGGCCTCACTAACACCCAACAGAAACATAGCTTTCTCAAGGAGGCCTCCCATCCACATACTAACCAAACACAACCCTGCTTCGCTTCAGTTTTTAGTGTGCAGACACCCCCGGAACGTGGGCAACAGCAGTACCTGCCTTGCCAAAACACATGAAACCCACTGCAGCTGTGTCCCAATTAAGAGGCTACATCCAAATTCAAATGCAGCCTCGAAATGCATCTTTAATTTCCCTGGATAAGAAATGGATCCTTCACAGCCCAGACTATCCCAAGGCATGATGAGATGAGAAAAAAATGCCAGGTTACAATTTTAAATGTTTTGTTACAAAAAAAACTTTAAAACCATTTAAATGTTGACTTGAATCTTACTAAGGTTTGATTTTATAGACAGTTTATCATTTTTATTATGTACATAAATGTACCATACAGTGAACAGATTTTGTTTTCAGACAGTATACCTTACATAACTTTAAAAAAAAAAACCTAAAGAACCTTTTTCCACTTTAAAGAACCTTTTGTGCAATGGAAAGGTTCTATGAATGAATGAATGAATGAATGAGACATTTATATAGCACTTTATTGTGTATTGCTGTACACCCAAAGCGCTTTACAATCATATGGGGGGATCTCTCCTCAACCACCACCAGTGTGCAGCATCCACCTGGATGACACGACGGCAGCCACAGTACAACGGCGCCAGTGCACTCACCACACACCAGCTACAGGTGGAGAGGAGAGAGAGATAGAGCCAATTCAGTGGATGGGGATTATTATTAGGAGGCCATGATTGACAAGGGCCAGTGGAGGGAATTTGGCCAGGACACCGGGGTTACACCCCTACTCTTTACGAGAAGTGCCATGGGATTTTTTTTAATGAACACAGAGAGTCAGGACCTCGGTTTAACGTCTCATCCGAAGGACGGTGCTTGTTGACAGTATAGTGGCCCCGTCATTATACTGGGACATTAGGACCCACACAGACCACAGGGTGAGCATCCCCTGCTGGCCTCACTAACACCTCTTCCAGCAGCAACCTAGTTCCCTATCGAAAGGTAACTCCTGTTGCATCGTCATTGACGACTGCTTGGGGTAAACTCCTGTTTACTCTGTTACTGAAGCCTGATTTGTTGATGTTTGTGTAGTTGCACATACCAAAGTACTCGAGCTCGCCAGTAGGGGTGGAACCGACTGCTATATAAGTTGACCAGGAGCGCCATTTCATCAGAATCTTCTCCTTCCGCGACGAGACCATCTCTTCGCTGACTCTGCGACGAAGCCGAAGCAAGAAGCCGAAGCAAGAAGCTTAGCCTGCTCTCCCGCCGTCGAACCAAGCCACTGCAGTGGAAGGAGTTCCCCTGCGGCCATCCGATGTTGGAAAAGAGCAAATTTTCTGAGCAAATCTCTCAAGCGCGTTGTTTGAAATGACGCTTCGCGAGTGTAGCTTGTGCAAGGATCCACTGCACGAAACTGACGGTCACGACGAGTGTGTCGCCTGTCTGGGGGTCGCCCACGCAGAGGCTGCACTCACCGAGGCTTTATGTTCTCACTGCGAGAACATAATCCTCGCCCGTCTTCGCTCACGGATCGCCTTCTTCCACGAAGGCAGTCCTCCCCACTCTGTTCTCCTGACTCCTTTCTCTTAGAAGAGGAAGAAGCAGTGGAACAGCGGAACCATCTTCTTGGGCTCGAGTGATGTGGCGTCGGCCCAGCGCCCGCGCGCGTTTACTCTCCCCGCAGCGCCTCATGCTGCCGGTGTGCTTTGCACGCGAAGATCAGTGTCCCTCGTCGGATTTGAGTGGCTTGGTCTTCTTCGGTGCTTCTGAGGAAGAGGTGGTTGTCGATGACTCCATGTCCTTGACAGCATCTGATGCTGACGAGTGGCCGTGTTCCGGCAAAGAGCCTGAAGCTCCCCCTCCATCTCAGTCTACACGGCCCAGCGTAGACACCGAGCTGATTCGCGTTCTCACATGCGCTGTGGAGGAACTTGGCCTTGAGTGGTCTGCCCCAGAAGAGCCCGCCCCCGGCCTCCTCGACGAATGGTTCCTGAAGGGATAACGTCATCCTTCCTCCCGTCAGTGTCCAGCTCCCTTCATGCCTGCGGTGCACAACGAGCTCACCAAAACATGGCGGGCTCCGTATTCTGCGCGTGTTAACCCCTCGACTGCTGCAGCTCTCACCACAGTTGACGGCGCTGAGGACAAGGGGTATTGCAAGCTCCCCCCTCTGGAAGAGGCAGTGGCTGCTCACCTTCTTCCACCGTCGAGCCGCGGGCTTAAAGCTGCAGTGCATCCTTCAAAGCCCTGCAGGATGACGTCAGCCCTAGCTAACAGGGCTTATGCAGCGGCTGGCCAGGCTGGTTCAGCCCTGCATACGATATCTGTGCTACAGATGTTTCAGGCCAAACTTCTCCGGGACATGGACGAGTCTGGCCGGAATCCTGGCGCCTTCATGGAGCTGCATACGGCGACAGATCTGGCCCTGCGCGCTACCAAGGCGATGACGCAGGCAGTGGGCAAGGCCATGGCCAGCCTGGTGGTGCTGGAGCGCCACCTCTGGCTAAACTTAACGGACATCAGGGACGCTGAAAAGATGGCCTTCCTCGATTCCCCATTTCCCCCAAGGGACTTTTCGGCCCTGCCATGGACGGCTTCACTGAGCACTTTACTGAGGCTCAAAAGACGTCGCAAGCGCTGCGTCATTTTCTGCGTAAGCGCTCCAGCACAGCGACTGTTCCAAGCCGCCTCAAGCCAGCGTCCACACAGCAGCCTGCAAAGACGGCACAGCCTCAGCTCTCTCACAAGCCAGAGCTTGACATCCAGCAGCACCCCCGGACGGCAAGGAGGTATCCCTTCCTGAAGCGGAAAGGTCCCTGCCCTCGTGTAGTGCTGGACCCTGAGCCTAAGAAATCGTCCTGATCTGCGTGCAGAGAGGAAGAGGAGAGGGCAAGTTCTCGCAAATGCCGGAACCCCCTTGAAGAAGGCTCGCGATCATTCCCCACCCCTTTGAGCATCTCTGAGCGGTGGAGGTTTTTTAGCGCGGCACCTCCTGCCAGTTCAGCGTGTGCCACGAAACACTACCGCTGTGATAGCGGACCCAAATACCTTAAAGAACAAATTTCCTCTTCCTACATTCACACGTCAGTTCTCCACCTTCGGGCGGCGAGCCGTCATCAATAAAAATAGAGCCTCTGGCCGCTCGGCTGATGGCTTGAAAAGCCATTCCCAGCGTGTCAGATTGGGTTCTGAAAACTATACAACGAGGCTACTCGCTTCAGTTCGCTCGCAGGCCACCTGTGTTCAGAGGTGTTGTGCAGACTTCTGTGCAGGACAATGAATCTAATGTTCTTCGAGCCGACGTGCAAACACTGCTTGCAAAGGGTGCAGTGGAAATGGTCCCCTTAGCGAACAGCGAGTCAGGCTTCTACAGCCGATACTTCCTCGAACCGATTCTTGATCTCAGACATCTGAATCGGGCCCTCATGTGACGGCCGTTCAGAATGTTGGCTTTGAAGCAGATGCTCGCGCAAATTCACCCCGAGGAATGGTTTCTGTCTGTGGATCTGAAAGACGCTTACTTTCACATCCAAATAGCGCCCCGTCACAGACCGTTCTTGAGATTCGCCTTTGAGGGAGTGGCCTATCAGTATACGGTTCTACCGTTTGGTCTGTCCCTGGCCCCCAGCACTTTTACGAAGTGCGTAGACGCAGCTCTTTCCCCTCTAAGACAGATGGGAATCCGCATATTGAACTACCTCAACGACTGGCTAGTACTAGCCGACTCAGAACGGCAGCTCATCGCTCACAGGTCGTTGTTGCTCAACCACCTAGAGTGTCTTGGGCTGAAAATCAACCCATCCAAGAATTTTCTGATTCCCAGACAGCAAGTGTCCTTTCTGGGATCAGTCATTGACTCTGTAAAGATGAGAGCTTGGATTACGCCGGAACGCTTCCTGACTATCCAGCGAGCGGCGGCATCTTTCAGGTTGGGGACTGCACGTCCCCTGAGGGCATTTCAGAGGATGCTCGGCCTCATGGTGGCTGCCTCCTCGGTTATTCCCCTGGGCCTGCTTCACATGCGTCCCCTTCAACTCTGGCTAAAAGCCCGCGTTCCGTCTCACGCCTGGTGCCTGGGCCGCTTTTATGTCAAGGTAACCCATCGCTGCATCAAAGCTTTGGCTCCTTGGATAAATTCTCGCCTGTCAGTCAGGCGTGCAGTTGGGAACAACCTCCAGAAGGAAGGTGGTCATGACGTATGCCTCCGGCTCAGGCTGGGGCGCTCTGTACGAGGGCAACCCGGCGTATGTCTCCTGGTCGACCCACGAGCGATGCCTACATATCAACTGCCTCGAAATGATGGCGGTCTGTCTAGCCCTGAAAACCTTCCTGCCTGCCTTAAGCCTGTGTTATACTTTCCGCGTAAGCTAGTCCACTAGGGTCAGTAGGCTACAAAAGCACCAACTGCGCATGCGCAGGTTGTGTGAATAAGCCTGTTGCTACTCGAAGCTGTACAATCCGTCGATAAAACAATATAAAGACAGCCAGATGTGCAATAACTGTGGGCAATTGTTTGTTCACATGTTTATTTACTGTTCAAGCCGATCTACTGCGCATATATGGAACACGTCCATGGAGCGGACCATCAGCATATGCTTTCGGTAGTATAGATACAAGTAGTCCGCGTCCGCGCTGTCCGTGTACGCTTCCGGATTGCTCATGTGGAAAGTATAACACAGGCTTTAAAGGGGCACCACATCCTGGTCCGTCCTCAGGTCACATCCCCTTCACAGGATGACTCGACGTCTCCTGCTTTGGGCACAGAGAGAACTCCTCTGAACTTTAATGGACAGCCTAAAAAATATTACTTACTTGTATGCTTGTAAGAGCCAAATGTGTACGTGCAGTTTTGAATGTCAAATGGAAAGGTGTAGATGTCTAGGTTGCAGGAGCTGATCAAGTGGACTGGCAGCCGATCTTCTGCTTTGCCGTTGTTGTAAAGATAAAGGTAATAGGTGTTTGGGGCTTGGTTGTCACTTATGCTGCAATTAAATAGGACAGTATGTCACAGACAGCCACAACAGTTGTGCCTTTTATTGCAGCAAGTAAAAAAAAAGGTTTTAAGGGTTTTTAGTTTAGATTAGTCAACTAAAATCTGATTAGTCGACTTAAGTCATTGTGGTAACCCATTGAAAATATGTTGTTCCTTATCGAAAGGTAACTCCCGTTGTGTCGTCATTGACGACTGCTTGGGGAAACGCCTGTATTATCTGTTACTGAAGCCTGATTTGTTAACATTTGTGTAGTTGCACAAACCAATGGTGCTCGAGCCTGCCAGAAGGGGGCGGAGCCAACTGCTATATAAGTCCTGGTCCGGTTGGACAACACGACGGTGGTGGCCTATATCAACCGCCAAGGCGGCCTCAGGTCACGTCCCCTTCACAGGATGACTCGACGTCTCCTGCTTTGGGCACAGAGAGAACTCCTCTCACTACGAGCGGTTCATGTGCCGGGCAGACTGAACCAGGGAGCAGGTATGTTGTCAAAGGACAATGTAGCTCCAGGGGAATGGAGGCTACATCCCCAGACGGTTCAGATGATCTGGTCAGTTTTCAGCAGGGCAGAGGTCGACCTCTTCACCTCCGAAGACAACTATCACTGCCCACCCTATTTTTCAAGGATGCTCTGGCCCACGATTAGCCCAACACCCGCCTGTATGCCTTCCCTCTGATCGCCCTGCTACCTCAGGTTATCAGGCGAGTCAGGGACACAAAGTGCTCTCTCCTCCTCATGGCCCCTCTCTGGAGGAACCAAGTCTGGTTTCCGGAGATGATCCAGCTGCTATCTGCAGCACCGTAGCCAATACCACTGAGGAGAGACCTTCTTTCGCAGGCGCAGGGCAAAATTTGGCATCTCCAGCCGGAACTGTGGAGCCTTCATGTCTGGCCACTGGACGGGAGTCTAGCCAATTCCCAGCGAGAGTCATTAATACCATTTTAGAGGCTAGAGCTCCATCTACAAGACGCCTCTATGCCCTCAAGTGGTCAGTCTTCAGTGACTGGTGTTCAGCACGGAACCAGGATCCGGTATCATGTGACGTGCTAACCTTTTTGCAGGAGCTGCTGGATAAGGGGCGCACCCCTTCCACGCTCAAAGTCTATGTGGCAGCCATCGCGGCGAATCATCATTCTCTCGAGGCTGGCCGGACAATTGGCAGGAACGACTTGGTCGTTAAGTTTCTTAGAGGCGCTCGGCGGTTAAACCCTCCTCGTCCTAGGATGGTGGCAGTATGGGACTTGTCTATAGTCCTGAGAGCGCTCAAGAGCTCCCCCTTTGAGCTGCTTCAAACAGCCGGCTTAAGGGTCATGACACTCAAAACCGCTCTGCTTTTGGCCCTGGCGTCAGTTAAGTGAGTAGGGGACTTGCAAGCTCTGTCTGTCAGTGCTTCCTGTCTTGAGTTTGGACCCAATGACTGTAAAGTCGTTCTCCAGCCGCGCAGCGGTTATGTACCAAAGGTGCTCTCAACTCCGTTTAGAGCCCAAGTCATTTTCCTTTTAGGCCTCCTTGGAACGGATGGCGAACAAGGTCCCAACTTGTTATGTTCCACTGTGAGTTTACATTAAGCGCTCGGAGTCTTTCAGACAATCAGAGCAGCTTTTTGTGTGCTTTGGAGGCCGCTCTAAAGGGCTGCCTGTCACAAAGCAAAGACTATCTCATTGGATAGTAGACGCTATAGCTCTGGCTTATGCCTCAGCTGGTTTGCAATGCCCTTTAGGTGTGAGGGTCCATTCTACCAGAGGAATGGCCTCCTCTTGGGCCTGGTCCAGTGGAATTGCTATTGGGGAGATTTGTGCGGCCGCCGGCTGGTCGTCGCCGTCTACCTTTATTAGATTCTAAAATTTGGATGTTCGCACAAACGTTAACAAATCAAGCTTCAGTAACAAGAGTAAACAGGAGTTTCCCCCAAGCAGTTGTCAATGACGACGCAATGCTCATTCCCTTATCTCAGGGAACCGAGGTTACGTGAGTAACCGGAGCATTTTCCCAGGAGCTCTCCCATCCAGGTACTGACCAGGCTCAACCCTGGTTAGTTACAGTGGGTAACCAGTCTTGGGCTGCAGGGTGATATGGCTGTGGCATGCTGTGGCTGTGGAATGTTAAAGGTTCTTCATGGAACCACAGAATCCAATAAAGAACCTTTACATTTAAGAGTGTGGTCTATGATTATTTGTGTACTAGCACAACAGAAAACAAGAAGCAAGAAGTCTTTACATGTGTGACTGGGCAACAATTTTTAGTCTTAAAGTGTGCTCTTAGCCTGAAAACGCTTAATGCTGCAAAAAAATTAGACACAATGCAGTGGTTAAAGTGTCAAAAACCAATGAGAACATAGCACAGAACGCAATAGCATATCCTGTGATAACCCCCGTATTATTGTAAAGCAGCTTTGTTGATGCTCACCTCTCCATTACAGTAGCAGTAGATGATTGACACAAAGAAGCCCTAGAGGAGAAACAAAAATAAGTGTTGGCGCGATGTCTCAACACAGTGCAAAAGTTTCAAACTACTGACTCCCGTAATAATAAGTTTTGATTTTCATTTGTAAGTTTAGTTGTGAGTCAGTGATTAAGAAAAAAAGTATTCATCTCTGGAAAATGTTCATAATACGTACATTACAGCACAGTTAATTATGCACTGGTCCATGTTTTTTTTCTTGGTCACAAATTGTTTTCAGTGATTTGGAATCATTATTTTTATATTAGGTATTTAATTAATTACAGTTGACACTGACCATCTGTTTAGTTTATATAGGCCTATTATATTTAACAGCCTAAAAACAAATTAAACGTTAATGTCATTAAATTATTTTATTGTATTACCAAGTTCTGTGAATGTGGCTGTGTTTCTGAAGATACTGCAAGTATAAAGGGAAGTGATGTATTCTTCTTGGGAAGGACAAGCACTGAATCGTGTCATCAAGCTCCAGATAAAAGACTCTTAACCTAACCAGCACCTGTCATTTAAGACAACCGAACATCTCAAACAGAAATCAATGGTGTGTCATGAGATGTCAAGCCTATTTGGAGTGCTGTGAATTGGATTGACCTGTCAATATATTTCTCTGTCTTACATGCTACTACTTAAACATTTAATTTTTTTAACAGTTTGTGCAACAAGCATTTACATGTAAGCAAAATTCTCATCAACATCTGTGGGCCGATGTTACTTTTAATTATATTTACTAGTTGTAAATTATTACCATGCATATTTTGTACAACCAGTGCTAAATATCTGAGCTTTCCCAAAGAAACCAGATTTTTCTCTTTTGCTTTGCCACAAGGTTTGTAAGAGACCATTAACATTAATTTAGATTTAGAAGAAAGTGACTTAATTTTTTTTTTTTTTACATTTTCTGAGTTTATGAAATTATAAACACATTTCTTAATTTTTTTCTTAATTCTTCCTCTGCAGTAGTTGAGTATTTTCGTAGTACAAGAAATAATTTTTAATGCAAAAAAAAAACAAAAAAACATTCATTGCCAGATCAGTTTTTAAAAATTGCATGTCATCAGTGACTTGTAAATAAAGAGTGTTTTTCCTTCTCTTTTTTATAACATTTCTACCAAATCAATAATAAATCATGCAAAATACATGCACGGCATTTATATAAATGATGCTAAAATACACATTTGAATTTATGATTTTTGGATTATCAAAAGAAAAACATATGCATCTTGACTTGCAGAGATCACTGATTACATTAGCTATTCATGCAATAAAGGCATCGTTCCCAAGTACCTGGAAAGAATTGAAGAACAGCTCACAATACATCCGCACCTCCCAGCCAAGACCTTCGAATGTGTGCGGCATCCCAACAAACACAATGTAGTGCACTCCAAACACAAACACCAACACAAGCGTGGATTTGGCAAGCTTCCTGAACAGAGAGAAATTAAAATCTTCTATGAATTAAAGGGATTCACTCAAAAAAAATCTGTTATTTACTCACCCTCATGCCATTCCAAACCTGTATGAATTTGCAGTAACCTTTGTACAGCAAATTTCAGAGAGTGAAATGTTGTCATGTCATATGGAATCAGCATGATTGGAAATTGCACGGGGATACTCTGTGACTAATTTCCCCATGCCGATTTCCCATCTGATTTAAGACTGTTGAACCTTAAACATGCAAATTTGCTGCATTTACTAACATGATATAATATATACCAATATTACCAATTGCTGTTTACCAAGCTGTTTGGTTTGGAAGTGACCTGCTTCACGCATTGCTTTACTACTCACAATGGACCCATTTTACTACAAAGTTTCACTAATGTAATCACACCTTTAGGCAGAATCTTCAGGCTGGTATTTTCAATAAACAGGGATGGATATTGAGCTCCAACAAAAGTATAAAAGCATAATTAAAGAGGTCTATATACCTTGTGTGCTATATGGTGCTATATGTCTAAGACTTCACAAACTAAAGACATTATTTGCTAAGAATCATCCTCTTCACTACAAAGTTATCACATGGATTCAGTCGACTATGAATATAGGGCACAATAACCTTTGTTTTTTGTTTTTTTATCATTTTTGAAGATTGACAGCATCTGTCCCTATTCAATTTCACACAAAAAGAGTAAACATTCTGCCTAACATCTCCTTTTTTGTTCCACAGAAGAAAGTAAGGTGAGTAAATGATGACATTTGATGAATTTTTATTTGAAATTGTCACTGTCAAAAAAAAAAGAAAAAAGAAATGCATTTATATCACTATCAAGTGATATAATGCACAGTTTCACCCTGTTTATAATAACACAGAATCTTTACTGCCATGCGACCACCGTTGAAATATCCCCAGTCAAGCAACATGTAACACTTTTTGATCTCAGTGAGATATTTGTGTTGGCCGATGACGCCAAATACGGTGTGTGACGTAGATGTGATATTACGAATTCAAGTTTGTCTTTAATCTGTGTTTGATGAATGACATTCCACACGCCTCCGTGTGGCTTTAATCAGAATAAAGACAAGTGCAAGATCTTTTTTAACTGCTACGCCTTGCCTGCCAATGTCTTGCAAATTAGTCATGAAAAGTATCATGAAAAATAATTGGAAAAAAGCAATGCTGGAAGATCATGAGGTACAAATCCTCTTTTAATTGAAGCCCCGCTAAGTTTGAACAACCATAGTGTTCCAGTAAAAGGAGCGTTGTACCAAATGAGAGTCAAAATGATGTGACGTACGAGCATTCATATTTGCATTACAAATGTATTTCTATTGAATTTATGACAAAGTTCTCTTTGGCTGAGCAAAATGCACTATTCACTGTGTTTGCAAATATGACTGTGTATTTATGTCTGTTCTACCAGCTGTGCAAGCTGACACCTGTGACTCTACATGCTGCTACTTAGCAGGGAGGCAGCAATGATCAAATTGATTACTGTTATTAGTCGCACAAAATGACATCTATTGGCATTGTGTTTGCTCCAAACTGGATTCTTTTAGGGAGCATCCAGAATAACATTTTGACATGCCAAACCCAAATGTGCATTTATAGGGTCTAAAAGCATTTTTTTTTCAAAGCCAGACAAAAATGGAAGCTAAAGATTTTCTTTCAGCGTGTAACAAGATCAAATCTATAATATCCAGTGCAATGCGACACTGATTTCAGCACATGATGGAATGATGGAAACCACAATCAAGCTGCAGAATGAGTAGGCTTATTATCGCAGCATCTCTTAGCCACAGGCTATTCTGCCTTTAAGCTGTCAGATGAAAGATTTTGCCTAAATTACATAAGGAAAAAAATAGTTTCTGTAGGGACAGTTTCCATTCTTTGCAGTCTAATAGCAGAGATGATGCTGCTGTAATGACACAGACAATTTGGGCTGGTATAACACTGAATTCACAATTTAAAGGCACTTGAATGCATAAAAACAGGCTCAGTGGAAGTGGATGCACAAACCTGTACTGTTTCCGTGTGTCATATCTGCCTGCGTTGGTCTCGCGGATCTTGGTGGCGAGAACCCTCACAATATTCACAAACAGGATGAAGTTCAGCTGAGAAAGAAAGAGCCAAGAGAAATAACTGTAAGAGGTGACACTTAATAAAATCCCTTCTTCTGTCTAAATATAATTTGAGTAACTGAAACCTGTAATAGGGACTGAGGATTTTATCCATTATGCATATCTGGACAATAAAGCCTGTCAAGGGTCACTGGCAGATGACCGGCTAAGTGATGTGTATGGCTGCTTTTTCCCAAATGAGCGGGGATGTCATTTGAAAAATGTTAATTTCCATCTGCTTAATCATAATGAGTGGGATGTCTGTGCATGAGATTTTAAGCTCAGTCTGGAATCAATAAGAAAAAAAAAGCATTCTGGGAGCAGAAAATATGGTTTAGGGTCATAAGGGTATAATTTAAGTTTTTGCAATTCAGCATTTCACATACAAAAAGGACTCAGATATAGATGCATTATTTGGTGTGTAACTTTATTCTGAAATTAATTTCTTTCGTTTTCTATTATGTATAGCTATGTACTAAAAAGTGTTTTTAGCGCTATTTAGATTGCTTGGCTGTGCATGAATAATTAATGAAGAAACATACATAGCTCTCCTATAAACACTGGTGTTGTTGAACAACATGAATTATGATACGAAGTAGTGCACACATGATAAATGAACACCTCAAAAGACTAAAGTATACAAAAATGTTTTAAAGCTATATTAAGATACACTTTATACAGTGTGCAAACATTTGTGCAGTAACCACAAAAGTTTGTTTAAAAAAAGTCTTAATGATAACTGATGTTTGGTGCAGGGGTGGCCAAAGGCAAGACAAACAGAAGGTCGCTTTGAAAATGACCTATAGAAATTAACATAAATAGGTTGACTGAACAGCAATGCTTGCATACACACATTTCTATTCCTCAAAAAGAACAAGAAGACATTAAAATTACTGAAAAGACAAAAAATGACTGGTATTATCTCTAAACAAAAACCCACCACATTTCATCCATTAAGAACCTGCGGTGCTCTTTGACATGCAACAGGAAAACTATGATGTCATTTTCAATCATGGCAATCACGCATTTAAATGACCCCTTCTACAGAATATTGCCCCCATATCCACCATCTGTTCAGTGGGAGTATGGGAAAAAATGCAAATGTGCCTTTACAGTTTGTAACATATGAATCATCATTGGCCAGATTTTATTCTCATTATAGATCTGACTTTCCTACTAATTGTTATCCGTCCATCCACAACAGCCACAATGCGTTTGAATAACAGCATTAGTATATCACAGTATTAATGTATTGTACAGTATTTTTAAACTGTACATCAGCAATGAGGAGAAAAAGCACAACCGGAATTTTTTTTCACTGTCTTATAATTATATAGTAGCCTACTTGTGAGGCAGAAGGAAAGGTTGGACATATAAATTCACTGCCTGCTCAATCGCTGTTTAACATTTTACAACCATATACAGTAGTTACAAAACAAGTATCAAAGTATGTGAGATGGCTAAAAAATAAATCATTCAAAAAATGATTCTATGCTTAATCTTTCAGTGTTTGTAAATGTGTGAACCTAAATGACACACTGATCGGTGCATCCCTAACGGTAATAATGTGATTAAGGTGTTTACATGTCTATACTGCACTTCAGTAATGCGACTAAAATAGGAATACTCCACATGTCTTAATTCGATTTGTTTACTGCTAATATGACTTTAGCCGGATTAAGGTAATCAAAAATCTCTGTTTACATGGTAGATTCTTAATCAGAGTATTGTCTTAAACGTGTTAAAATCGGATTATTGTTGTCCAAACGTACTCAGTGTGAAATATCATCATTTTAGTGTCTGAGTAGATCAGCCTGAAATGGAACTGAGGACCGTTCAGTGATTTTCAGTCTTTTTTTTTCTGGGGCAAAATTCATGCATTATAAAGTTGGAATCATTTTTTTTTACAACCACACACACCAATCACACCAACTTCAATTGCCTTGCGCATGTAACTTGTAAGGAGAAGTCCAGCTGTGCTGCCTGGCACAAGTTAAACAAGGCTGTGGATAAAAGTAGTCATGCTGAGGCAGCTTCATCATCCCCACAGAATACAACATTTTCTTGATGTGCACAGAAGATATATGAACAGTTGGATGTACACAGTTTAATCTCTTACCAGTACGGCTATTACTAAAACCTTCAACCAAAGCAAGTGAGTCTATTTATGTATGCACACAACATCCACACATAAACACGTCTCTTAAATGCTTGATATGATGCCATGCAAACAGCATGTATAATCCCTATATAACAATTAATATAAAATATCTATTTAATGAGTGTAAATTACATTTACAAATAATGAAAAGTTACAAATATTTTAGCAAAATGTAAAAAAAAAAGCAACAAAGCCAACCTGAGACCTAAATCCACTGGAAATGAATAAAAATTTAAATTAATATAAAGAATTTCCAGTTTTTTGTGGGTCTTTAAATGGTTATTGTGATTCAGTTTCAAATAATTATTTTGCCAAAAAAATAACATCTACTCAAACCCAGTTTTGTTACTGAAGATTCCATTTATTATATATAATGCATTGATGTCTGACTAATCTTTTAGCTATGCAGTTACCTGCCAGCCTCTGTATCCTTGAAGAGACATACAGTGATGGAGAACTGATTGTGCTGTAGAGTATTATAAAATGACCTAAACGCCTTGAACTTCAAGGGTTCTGTAGCATACGATTCTTTTCAAATAATAATCCATTGAAGAACAACATTTTGTAACTCGTGTGTTTTTAACGTAAACTTGTGTGTGAATGAGAACTTAGTTTAGTACTCACATGCTGTGACAGCCGCTTTCTGTCCGTGTGCTTCAGATGTGTGCACTCAGAAAACCGTATATCAGAAGTTTAAACTAATATGGTTTAAAACACGATTTCAGCGCGATAAAAATTATAATCAGAACCAAAACTCAAAATGATATAATAAATGATATGTGGGGTATTTTGAGCTGAAACTTCACAGACACATTCTGGGTACACCTGAGACTTATATTACATATTGTAAAAAAGGGGCATAATATGTCTCCTTTAAAGCCAAATATGAATCTCATCAAGTTAGTGTTTTTAAGCATTTTGCATTTATTCCCAAATAATAACTCAAGGCAGTAACAACTTAATACATTTTATTTGTGAACTTATGTGCAGCTATTCTTTTTAATAGTTCACTTTTAACTATTTTTTTAATTTTCAGATCTTCACTCATCAAAGCTCGGTAAATAGTGGTCACACACTATTTCAAGTCTTATTTTGACATAAAAGATTTGTCATGAACCAGTCACAGCCGAATATAACCAGTCATATACAATCATATTGCGATGGAGGCATTGCCTCCTCTCATGTGACTTCCCCCCATTCATTCTCAGTTACCCCCCCCACCAAACTCACCTCATGCTTTAGGGGGTCTGTTAAAACTCAATGGGCTCAGGGGAGGCGAGAGAGGTGCATACTCCGGCTGTAACTTTACCTGCTGGTGTTGCTGTTGGACAATGTTTCTTTAGAAAAATGAGTGATTTATATACTTGTTAATGATATATTTTATAATATTGCCGTTGTTTTATTTTTGTACTACAAATTTTATTCTCATCAAATATTTTAAGGAGGCACTGAATCCCTTGCCCCTGTTATAGATATATGTAGATATATATAAAGAAGCGGGTCATGCTTAAGAAGGCTGCATTTATTAAGATCAAAAATACAGGAGAAAACAGTTATATTGCGAAATAATAAATCACTGTTTTCAATTTTAGAATTTTTTTATGGCAAAGCTGAATTTTCAGTAGCCATTACTCCAGTGTTCAATGTCACATGATCCTTCAGAAATCATTCTAATATTTTTATTTGGTGCTCAAGAAACTTTTCTTATTATTGTCAATGTTAAAAACGGCTGTGTTGCTTAATATTTTTGTGGAAACATTGATACTATTTTTATTTAGGATTCTCTGATGCTAATTTAAAAGAACAGCATTTATTAGATTTTTTTGTAACAATATAAAAGTCGAAGCAAAAGTATTATTTCTAAAAAAAACTTTTAAACAGTATATTGTGTAATAAATGCACTGTTTAAAAACTGATTGTCAAACAGTACAGTATGTTCACAGTTAATGTGATGAACTATACGGTTACTCTGACAATGGTGTAAACTTGAAGAGAACTAAAAACACATTTTCAGAGCAAAAACACCAAGAAAGCTATTTCTGAGAAAAGCTCTAGAGTCACCACTTGGTCTGATATTTTTATTTATTTTTTTTATCTAATGCAATGCCATTCATTTTTAAGTGATCAAATATTTTGGGTTCCACTGTACATCACTTACATGTATGCATGGCTAATGTTACCTTGGCAGTCGAGTATCTGAATAGTTAAAGCAGCAGCTGTAAACCATCACTTCAATTTGAAAGTGATAAATAAATCCCATTTTTTAATTCATCATTTCTAAATGAACATAATGAACTAGAAAGGCGAAATGAGGTTACCATGTAGGCACCCCTGCTGAGACGCTTCGGTCTCTCCTGACTGTGCCCATGTCTGAATCATGTTATTGTCTGCATCCAGTAATTGGTAGAACTGGCAGAAACACACACATGCACGTTGTAATTATGGTAATGTTCTTGCCAGTTCTTCTGACATTTGCCTTCTTTGCCAAGTGCTTTTCATCTTGCAGTGGTGAATAACAGAAAAGAGAAAAGTTTAGGTAAAGTTAGACGATTTCTCCCTCCTCAGGGAAAATTGCCTCAGTCTTTGAACTGTTTCCCAGGCTGTCGATTGGTTCTCACGCCGTGCTTATTAAGAGTCTGACAGTTTTTCACTTCACTTTTACTCACCCCAATGGCTGTCAGAATGGGGACCTGGTAGATCCATTTGATGTTTCCTGCACTCAGCTCCCAGCATCTGCACAGATAAAGACAGATCGAATGATAAATTAACCAGCACACATGGATTATGATTCAGGGCAGGGGCGTAGATTACGCGGGGGACGTGTCCCCCCCACTTTTAATATCACGTAAATTCGTCCCCCGCACTTTTTCGGGCAAGTGTGTTCGCATAGAGGTTTTCAAGAGCCGGTGTGAATAAATATAGATTTAAATTCAAAGAGACAGGATAGTCTGTGCATGATCTGATGTTTTATTCGGACACAGAATAAGGCGAGATGAACATCATGGAGCGCTAAACATTCCGTGCAGTGTATGTTTCATTCATACTCAAAGCCGGAGGGCGCTCTCGCGCAGAAAGTCGAACCTTATATATATATATATAACATTTCTGTCCCCCTCACTTCTGAAATGATGGCTACGCCCCTGATTCAGGGGATATTTAAAAGGCACAGAGCGAGACAGTGGCAGAGAGGCAGATAAGTTTCCAGTCCCAGAGGCAGTGCTAACACAGTAATGATATACTGTACTTCACTGTGCACACTGTATAGATCAAAAGGACCTAGTTTAGTCTCTCTCTCTCTCCTTGAAGTCACTGACCCACTCCTTTGCTTTATAAAACGCCGCTTTATAACACTCATTTCCATTTGTTTACCACCAATTTGTTTCGGCATTCATAATCCCATTACAAATGTTTACTATGATGTGCAGCTGAATGGATAATCTGTCGTGCAGAAGATATTGTCCATAAATAGGATATACTGTAAGCATTCAGAGGGAAGCAGAATGCATGCAGTCTGGCGAAAAACTAGAGTCATAATGAACATTCATTATGAATTACCTCAGAATTAATTAATGAATTAATGAGTTTCGAAATGAGTTTCGGTTGCTCATTTGGTAAAGCAGTAATCCATGAAAAATAGTTTCAATAGATGAAAGTTTCAACAGAAGCCAAGAAACACACACAGTGTGAAGAAACACACACTGGAGTTTCACGCTCACTGGCGAGAGAAACCCTGCTCAAAATGACACTTTATTGCTTCGGAATAGAAACTACAAAATCATCCCTATTCTTCAGAACTCTTCAACTCTTGCATAAGTTCAAAAATTGCACACAAATCACACTAAACAGAAAATATAAAATACACATATAATAAAGAGAATACAGAGTGTCTATTTACTCAAAGTGCAAACAGCCTGCCTTGATGGCAGAGGCTATTTACACTAACTCCACCCACCAACGTGAGATTGGGATAGTCAACATTACAAAACACGATTGCTAAACAACAGCTCCAGTGGTGTAGATGGTAAAGTGCATGCTGTAGTCTATTTGATGCGATCGATCCAAATTCGCATCTGCCTTTTGCCAAACTTTTTTTTCCCTGCCTTTTTACATGTCATATGTCATCGGAAAGACATTTATTTTCAATACAAAAAATGAAGGAAATACTCAAAAAGTTGAAAATAAAGTATCGGGTAGGGTTAGGATAGGTGTAGGAAGGGCTTTACTGTCCCAATAAGGTGGCATCTATTTAATAATTTGAATTAAAATTATAATTTGCACTCAATACGTTATTATTGCATACTGTTTTATAATGTACTACAATACTAGCAGATAATTGCAACTATTTGCAATAAGTAGTATAAATAGCAGACATTCCTGCTATTTTAACACAGTGTAAATAGAATCTATAGCTATTTGCACTTAGGCTAGTGTAAACAGCATATCGCTAAGGAAATCCTGCTATTTTCACTTAGTGTAAATAGCCTATATATCTATTTACTGTACACTTAGCGCAAATAGCCGCTGCCTGAAGAATATACTATATACAGTAGTAAGTTACGTACTTACACAAATCATATTATTTCGGAGTGTCTACTTACATTAAGTGCAAACACCCACCCTTGTTGGCAGAGGCTATTTACACTAACTCCGCCCACCAACATGTGATTGGGATAGTCAACACTACAAAAGACACTTGGTAAACATAACTTCCAGTGGCGTAGATGATAAAGCGCATGCTTTTTGTTCTAAACCGCTTTTTGCTGAATTTATTTTTCTACCTTTTCAAATCTCATATCACATCGGAAAGGCATTTATTTTCAATAAAAATGGAGGAAATAATCAAAAGGTTAAAAATAAATTATCTGGTAGGGTTAGGGTAGATGTATGGAGGGCTTTATTGTGCAAATAAGGTGGCATCCATTTAATAATTTGAATTAAAATTATAATTTGCACTCAATACATTATTATTGCATACTGTTTCATAATGCACTACAATACTGAGGTGCAGATAATTACCACTATTTGCAATAAGTAACATAGTGTAAACAGAATCTATAGCTACTGCACTTAGTGTAAATAGCATATCGTTAAAAATTTGATGATATTTGCACTAAATAGCATCTATCGCCAAGAAAATATGCTATTTTCACTTAGTGTAAATAGCATCTATTGCTATTTACACTTAGTGCAAATAGCCGCTGCCATGTTATTTTCCCCAAGTGGCCCAAGTCATCTCAACCAGTCTTAATTTTTTTACATAACTGTTTTTTCCCCCTTCCTTCTCAACCTTGAAATTACAGTTTTTCACAATCGATTTGACACTTTTCTCCAATGCAATGTACTTGTTCTCAAAACAATTACCACAGCCATAAACACAAAATTATCCTAACCAAACAGTTCAACTTGCAAAATGAAGCACTGCAATTTTTTCTAGTAATGCATTTATTAAAAGTAAATATTAACATCACATCTATAGGTGTGATCTCTATTGATTATAAAACACATTCAGCTGTAGATGCACAAATATGCTAATGAAAATATATATTTATGGCAATTCTTCAACAGGGAGTTTTGTTTTATATATATTGTGTATATATAAACTAAATAAAAATTATCCAACACCTGCCCATGAGAAAAAACGAATTGCCCCTTTAAACTGTTTGTGCCAACTTTAACAGCAAGTTTAACTGCAAATAAACTTTTCTGATGACTACAGATCCGTCTTTTACAGCACAGTGGTGGATATAAAGTGGGTACGGAAAGTATTCAGACCCCCTTAAATTTTTCACTCTTTGTTATATTGCAGCCTTTTTTAGCTGGTGAAAATACTAGTGTTCTAATCATTTTGGCCACCACTGTATATACACCTGTGTGTGTTAGCTGTATACATGAATTATCCTGAATTACTGTATTGATCTTGCCTTTCATTTGCATCTGAAAGAGAATTTCATTGCATTTTATCTACACTAAATATTTGCTGCGCTTGCATCATAGGAGAAAAAATGTAAGAAGGTTGAATCCATGCTTGACAAGCTCTTGTCTCAACATCTCCACAGGCCTCTTCCTTTGTGGCTGGTGATGTTGTTCTGGACCACCATGTCAACAATGCTTCTGTTCCATTCAAAATAATCTTGATTGTCCACCTGAATTATCTCAAACTTAAATTCTGAAAAATATTTGGTCATTTACAGTAAATAACAGAAGTTGTCCCAGGAGTACTAAAGGAGGACACCTTCTTCACATCTACACCTTCTTCCTCTCCTTCCACCCCTTCCACCCTGGTGTCCACTTCCTCTATGTCCATGTCTTCTTACATTGTCTCCTCGTGCTCTTTCCACTACACCAATGCCCTCTTCTCTAATCATCTCTTCTCCATTTCCTTCTCCTCTCCTCTTTTCTCACACCACCATGTCAACAATGCTTCTGTTCCATTCAAAATAATCTTGATTGTCCACCTGAATTATCTCAAACTTAAATTCTGAAAAATATTTGGTCATTTACAGTAAATAACAGAAGTTGTCCCAGGAGTACTAAAGGAGGACACCTTCTTCACATCTACACCTTCTTCCTCTCCTTCCACCCCTTCCACCCTGGTGTCCACTTCCTCTATGTCCATGTCTTCTTACATTGTCTCCTCGTGCTCTTTCCACTACACCAATGCCCTCTTCTCTAATCATCTCTTCTCCATTTCCTTCTCCTCTCCTCTTTTCTCACATCTTCCTCTCTGCTCATCTCTTTCTACCTCTTCATCTTCTCTCTCATTACACCCCTTTCTCTACCCACTCCACCACCTTATATTTATATTTATTATTAATATTTTTTATTATTTTTTGCATATTTGTTCTTGCTCTTTGTATAGTTTCCGTTTTATTATTACTCTAAAGCAATTGTGATAAATGTGTAAACAATTAGGAAAACTGCATTTCCTGTGTTGTGTGTATAATTATCCGAATAGTTATCAGTTTAGGGCCAATCGAAAATATACCATGTTCATTTGATAAAATGACAAATTACAGTTTTGTTTGTTGTGTTTGGACAAATGGTACATAAATGTTTGTGATTTGTGTAAAGCCTTTTTTCAGCTATTTTAAAGTATTGGTTGGTTGTATTAACTATTGTGAAAACATTTGAGAGTTTTGTGCCCATTGTTTTGAGAAAATGATTTGCATGATTTGTAATTTGTATGAAATGAATGAAAACGTACAATCTGTTTAGGACCGTTACAAAGTGCTCCGATCACTGTGTTAACTGTTTTGAGAACAGTGACCTGAGTTTGGAGAAATGTGTCAAATTGATTGAGAATAACTGTAAATGGGGCATTTTTTTTGTTTTTGTTTTTTGCTGCTGTGATTTAAAAAGCATTTTGCTGTGCTTAATGTGTACTTTACTCATTTCTTGTTTTCAGATGGGTCTTGTTAATAGTCTTGTAAACATCTTTTATTATTGTCTTATTATTAATGTCATCTGTCTCCTTGTGCTATTTAGGGATAACAGTATTAATTGTTTCCCTAATTTCTGAAAACATCTGTTCTGAAACGCATTACAAAATATCAACTAATTTGTGATATTTCCTAATATTGCAAAAGAATAACTGATGTCATGCGACACCTGTATGTGACCCTCTTAAAATGTATTATGCAGTGTGACTTTTAGTTTAAGATACACTAAAGATCAAGTTAAAGATACAATTTGTGATCAGTTAAAGTAGGCCACCTTAACAACACTTGTAAAAAAAAAGACTACAGCTAAAACAAAACCTTACGTTGATAAAGTATTCTCCCCTGGAGAAGCAGCAAGTTGTTGCTTGAAGACATTTACTTTTATACCATAAGCTGCAAGAATACAAATTGTGCTCTCGAGGGAGTAAGACAATGACATTCAGCGAGCGTTTGAAAATAAACAGGGAAAGATAACGCCTCAGGCATGGTCCAACATCAATGTGAGTTGAAAACACCACTTCATTAAGATGATCTGGTGATAAACAGCTTAAACACTGCAGGGGTGTTTTAACATAAGAACACAAACATTTACAGATCCAAGACAAACACTAACTCATCTAATTAGTTTCTAACTAGCACTTGCTCTGCATTGCCACATCATCAATGAGAATTAACACTTGAACTATACAAACTAAACATATACAAAATATAAAATACTAAACAATACCATGATCATTTTAACACACTTATTTGCCTTGTTGAAAATGAAAATGTGGAATAAAGTCGTTATTTTTGTTTTCTTTGCGCAAAAAAGTATTCTCGTAGCTTCGTAACTTTACAGTTGAACCACTGATGTCACACGGACTACTTTGTCGATCATCTTGGTACTTTTCTGGACCTTGAACGTGGTAGTTACCTTGCTGTCTATGGGAGGGTCAGAGAGCCCTCAGATTTCATCGAAAATATCTTAAATTGTCTTCCAAAGATGAACGAAGATCTTACGGGTTTGGAACAACACGAGGGTGAGTAATTAATGACAGAATTTTCATTTTTGGGTGAACTAACCCTTTAAACTGGCCACTGTTCTTCAGAAAAATCCTTCAGGTCTCACAGATTCTTTGGTTTTCCAGCATCTTTTGCGTATTTGACCCCTTTCC